TCCCCCTTCCTCTCGCCTCTACAACAGAACAGCCATCATAGTAGCATCTTGCTGAGTGCACAAGGCCTTCCCATCTTCTCTGTGCCCCTGAACAGGTCCCCCTAAGTGAGGGTGGGGGAGGGGTGTGTGAAACATATTCTAAAACGCTGGAGGAGCTCAGAACTTAAAGATGACCTGTGTAAGTCCTGTTATGGGGAGAGCCCATCTTTCACTTTCTGAGTTCAGCAGCCTGGGTTTTTTCTATAGGAAGTTTGTTTAAAGTGTTCAGGAACCCCTGACTTCTTTTCATTCCACCCTCAGCTTTCTCATCTGCTGGGAAGATATGCCAGCAGCATGGCCTTCCTTGCCCACCTATGGGCCAGATCTTACTCATGGCCTGTTTCCTGCAGCCTTGCAAGCTAAGAATGATTTTTAGAAGTTTATAATAAAAAATAAGAGTATGCAGCAGAGACCAAAAGCGACCATCAAACCTAAAATATTTACTGTCAGTGTTTATAGAATAAATTTGTCAAGCCCTGGTGTATAACATGCAGGGTTTAGTGCAGATTCTGAAGCCACACTGCTAGTTTCATCGTCTATGAAATGACAGTAGTCTTAAAACATGGCTGCCTCTCAGGGTGGTTGGAATTAAATGAGACAAAGACTCTAAAGCACCTAACTTCAAGTCAGCGTCTTTGGAAGTATCGGGGGAAGCTATTTCTGAGCCTTTGCCAGGCTTCTCGACCCAGTGGGCATGAGAGGCCTGGCACAGGGCCTCTGGCTACCCCCGCCCCGAGTGTGGCTTCCTCAGAGCGTGTTTCCTTTGGCAGGAGGAGAGGGCCCTGCCAGCTGCCCATTGTGCCGCGTCCCGCTGGTAGGTCAGCGCTGCCTTCCTCCCACCCCCATCCCTGCTGACCGTCAGCTGGTGCCGCTCACCAGGGCCGGGCGCAAAGCCCACGCCAGGTGCCGAGCCAGGCCCGCAGGTACCCGGCCGGTTCCACTCTCCACCTCGAGCCTCAGACCGGCCTGGCTGAAGGTCCAGCTTGACTGCAGGACCTGCGGCCCGGACATCATCCTCTCTGTGTGCATTTCCTCACTCGTGGGCCAAACAGGCAGACATCTGTGTTTCCCCAACCCAAGCTTTTGGCTAATGGTTGCCTCCCTACTAGGGAAAAGGAAAGGGAAGGGTAATCCCAGGCCAGCTAGCCTCCCTCTGTGCACGAGTGGTCTGCAAAACAGACTTGCAGGAGATAATGAGTGAAATGTAAAAATTTTACAAACCCCTCAGAGCATTGAAAAAAAGTCAGAAAGAATGTTTTCTGCTCTGGATAGGGATAGGCTTTCAGTTCTTACAGGCAATGGGAGAAATAAGACAAAAGCTCAAGAAATTTCAGTACACAGAATCATAAAACTTACGTTTTACGTCAAAAGACCCAAAACAAAATTTTAAATCAAACTGAGAAAAAATATTTATGCCAGATATGGCACAGAACTAATATTCTTAAAGTAAACAATCTTTAAAACAAGGCTCTTGAGAACAACAACAAAAGCAAATGTTTACATAGTACAGCAGTGCCCTCTTATCCGCGGTTTCCCTTTCTGTGGTTCAGTTACCCGTCAGTTACCCGCTGTCAACTGCAGCTCGACAATATTGAATGGAAAATTCCAGGAATAAACAATTAATCCATTTTAAGTAAATCAGCCCTTCTTCCAGGCTATCCATGCTACACGCCCATTAGTGCAGGAAAAAACAGTATATGTAAGGTTTGGTACTCTCAGTGGTTTCAGGCATTCACTGGGGGTCTTAGAAAGTGTCCCTTGCGTGTAAGTGTGGACTACTATACTGTATGTTTTATACCTACTTACTCATTTAATCCTTGTAAATGAGTAAGTATGTATAAACTATACAATAAAGGTATTATTATCCCCATTTAACAAATGAGGGAACTGAGGCACAGAGAGGCTAAGTAACTTTCCCAGGGTCACTCAGCTTATAAATGGAGGAGCTAGGATTTAAACCCAGGCCATCTGGCTCTTGAGTCTGAGCATCTAAACTCTTCTGTACTAAACAGGAAAAAGATATGAAGCAGACAATACACAAAAGAGGAGACACAAATATCTGAGAAAAATAAGAATTATTTTTCAGTGTCATTGGTAATCAGAAAAGTGTAAGTAAAAATGATGAGATACCATTTTTGTCTTCAATTAGAAAAGCTTTTTATTCAGAAAAGATTTTTAAATATTATAATAACTAATAAATGCTGGCAATGCTGGAGTGAGACAAAGACTCCCACAGATTGCTGTAGTTATATTCAAGTGGCCTTTCTGAAAATTATTCTGGCAGTGCTCAAAACATTACTCAGGAATCTCAAAAATGTCCATACATTTGACCAGGAATTCCCATTCTAAGAATCTAATTTATGAAAATAATTAGAGATCTAGACAAAGCTTCATGCACAAAGATGTTCATAGAAATGTTATACAAAATAATGAAAAGTAGAAGCCACCTACGTATCTGATCACAGGATGCAGGTTAAAGAAACTGTTCAATCTCCAGCATGGGTCATTAGGCAGTCATTCTAAATAAATCCGTGTAACAAAAGACACCAGAAACAAAGTGAAGAGACACTGCAGACTTCTGGGAGAAGACATGTGCAATGCTATAACAAAGAATTATGTAAACAAAAGAATACACAAAGAACACTTACAAATCAGAAAAAGGCAAACAACCAAAGAACAAAACAGGCCAAGAATGTAAACATGCAATTTGTAGAAGAAGCAACTTAGGGCTAGTAACATAAAGTGATGCTCCATCTCACTACTAGTCAAGAAAATGCAAATTACTTACAGGTACTTAATCAAAGTAGCAAGAGTCCAAAGGGAAAGGCAGAGGGAGACAAATTCATATCCATTGCTGAGGGGACTGTAAGTGATGGGACTGAAGCCACTGTGGAGAGCGGTTTGACCACACCTAGTAAATGTAAACTTGTGATTCCATTACGCTCAGACTTCTAGGGAATCAACATGCACAAACACCAATTTGTACAAGAAGTGTTCCAGGATATTCACTGCAGTGCTATTTATAGCAGCAACAATAGTAATAGTATTGTTACATAATATTATGGTATATCATATTGTAATAAAATAGCAACAATTATCATCATTAAAGAGCTGACCATCAGAAGGGAAACAGATGAGTAAAATCTCATTTATGCATAATAGGATACTATGCACAGTTAAAATGAACTAAATCTGTGACAGCTTGGATAACTTTCAAAAACAATGGTATAAAGAGCAAGTCACAAAAAAGATACATATTTGAATGACACTGCTTATGTGAATCTTTGAAACAAATTAAAAATATTCCGTAGTATTTAAGGACACATCTAAAACAAGCTTGCAAGTAATGCACACCAACTTCAAATAGTGGTTCCTTCCAGGAAGGAGGGAATGGATGGAGGGCCAAGGATGGGAAGTGGGTGTCTTTATGATTGATTTTTTTTTTAGGTTGAAGCAAATAACAAACAGTTTAAATCTGGATGGGGATATGTGTCTTTCTGTTAAATTATTTTTTGTACTTTTCTGCATACTGAGCTATTTCAAAATTTCAAACAAATTATTTTTAACTTACTTCTTGAACAGTTCATACTTCTATGGAGAAAGGCTTTGAAATAATATTAAGGCATCAAAGCAAGACAATATGTACACAAATATTTACAATTTTCACAAATTAAAGGTTTGAAAGAAATATCTAAAATATCCATAGCAGTGGGCAAGATTCTGGAAGCCTACTTTTCTTTACACCCATTCACATTTTTCATTTTTTTCCTTTTTTGCCACAAAGAGGTGTTACTTTTATATCAGAAAAAAAAATTTTTTAAACAACCACAGAAAAATGTGAGTTTAATTAGGCCCCAGAAAAGGGTCTAAACCCCAGCAAGAGGTGCTGTGATGGGGTGAGAGCATCACAGACTGTCAGAGAGACCTGCGCTCGAATGCTGGTTGGAGACTGGCTGTGTGACTCTGAGTTCTTCAGTCTTTGCTCTAGTCAGCAAACCTTACCGAGCACCAGCAGTGTGGCAGGCACCGGGCTAGAGATGGGGCAGTGAACAGAACACACACATCCCTTCCCTCACTGTAGGGCGGACCATCTAGCGAGGAGGGGACAGCAAACACATCACCACCCAGACAGTCTGTCCGCCACACATGGGGAAAGTACAAAGGCAATGACAAGAATCCAAGTTGACTGGGAGCCGGGGGATCTGGCCTCTGAGCATCATTTAAACAGAATCCGAAGAATGAGGAGGTGTGGAGCCAGGTAAAGCTAGGACGAGGAGAGAAAGGCCAGCCCCACAGGGCATATTTAAAGAACTGAAAGAAGGCAGGGTTCTGAAATGCGGTGGGGCCTGGTGAGGGTTGTGCAAGGGGAGCCCAGCAGGATAGTCTGGAGCCAAATCTCTCAGGGCCTCACAGGCCAAGGAAAGGCCTCTAGGGGCGGTGGAGCGTCACTGAGCGGTTGAAGCAGGGGAGTGACCTGGTAGATTTGCAGTTGTCAGGGATTATCTTGATGCTGTTTGATGATCAGAGTGGACAGTGAGCAGCCCAGTTAGTCAGTTGGCTACTGGCATGGCCAAGCTGAGAGAAAATGCAGTTGGGATCAGGGTGACGGGGTGATGGAGAGGTGTGGTAGGATTTGAGAGATTTTCGGGGGGCAGAACTGACAGGTCTAGGATTGTGTGTGTGTGTGTGTGTGACAGAGAGACATGGGGAGTATTGGGGGTGACAGTCAGGGAAGGGCCAGGGGCAAAGCCAGGCTCGTGGCAGAAACAGCTGTGGGTCGGTGGGAATGAACAAGAGAAGACTCGGGTCAGGGGAGGGGAGGAAGCATGGGTGGTAAGCGGGCCCCCATGTGTGGCTGAGCTTTGGTTTCTTTATGTGTAAACTGGGGTTTCTGATAACCTGCGCCCCCAGGGAGAGCATTTCAGCCCTGTCACGCAGAACCTCTCCTCTTTCCTTCACAGGTGGGGTGTGTCACTCTTGGGGCTGGAACGAGCACGGCATGTGCGGGGACGGCACCGAAGCCAATGTCTGGGCCCCGCAGCCCGTGCAGGCTCTGCGATCATTGTCCGGAGTCCGCGTGGGCTGTGGGGCTGGCCACTCCCTGGCCCTCTGCCAGCCGCCAGCCCTCCCTGTCCTGGGCCAGCGCCCCATGGTCACTGATCCTTCCCTGGATGCCACCAAGGAAGCCAGTTCTCAAGAAGCCATGGACAAAGAGAGAAACCAGAAGGAAAGACACCCAGAAACTTCTGCTCAAAGCCAATCTAACAGGTTCAGAAATGGGGGGCTTGTGACAGAGACCCTTTAATAAAGCGCCTTTACCTGCCGAAGTGTTCCCAGAGAAGTGCTTTGTCGGGTTGCAGGGCTGGCCTGAGAAGGGCTCAGGAGGCCCCATGGCTGAGCTGACCAGACTGGTTCAATGCGGAGCATCTGGGCTCAAGGAGGCACACATCCTTTCTGCCCAGCACAGGAGAATGAGGGTGAAGTCCTCGCCAAAGGACAGGGGAGGTGGCAGGAAGGCAGCAGCCTGTCTCTATCTGGTAGGGACAGGAAGCCCAGCTCTACCTATAATGGTTGTTCGGTCCAGCAGCCTTCAGTTCAGCGAGACAGAGGGTTCCTGGGCCATGCTCAGGGCAGAAGACAAGACTTCTGGAAAGACCAGGCACAGGAGAGCTCTGGGACAGACAAAGGAATCTAGAACCAATGGAACTCAGAGAAAAGTGACATCTTCATCTGAGCCTCTGAGCCAGGCGGGGCTCTGGAGCTAGTCTGTGTGACTATAATTGCCAGGCTGTGTAGTTCCAGGTGAGGGACAGGCACAGCGTGGGAAGGGGGCTCTACAGGGAAAGCGGCACCAAGACCCTAACCCCAACACCACCCCCAGGCCCTGGCCTCTGCAGGAGGAGGGGCGCCAGGTGAAAATGGGGACCAGACCAGACCCCGAGCCTCAGGTCTTCCCTGGTCGCAGCTAAGGCTCTGGGGAACATAGCACCTTTCTCTCCGCTGTGACTGGCAGCAGGCTTTTGGCCAGAGGGCATCAAAAAGTAGCTTTCCCTGGGGGACTGTGTGGCAGTGTCACCAACTGGCCAGCCAAGTCTGTGGCCCATCCCACACGGCTTCTCCTCTGACTCAGGAGAGAGTTTGGGTCTGAGAACTAGGCTCCAGTGGCTTTAGGACGTTACAAAACCCCAGGACATCACAGCTGGAGGACCTGTGGTGATCTCCAGACTGCACTCGTCAGAGCCCTAGAAGTGTCCTGAAACTCAGTGGCCACCTTGAGGGCTGTGGGTAAAGGAAGGCCAAGTGGAGAGAGATCTCTGGGTCCTCACCCTCTGCCTTATTCACAGCAGTTTCATTTTAGTCTATATTATATATTGGGCTTCACATAAGAGTTCACTTGACAAGGGGTCCTTGAGAAAGTTTTAAAACCATTGATTTGATGCAACATTTCCATTGTTCATGTCAGAAAACAGAGGCCTAAGAAGGGAAAGGAGCATCTCTAGGTCACACACCTCCCTCCTGGCCCAAGGCGCTGTTTGAGAAGTGACCCATCAAGGGCCTCAAGCCAGACCAGGTTGGGGTGGGGGCAGACAAGGGGTAGCCCTGGGACCAGGAGGGGGTTCAGCTCAGGAGAGTGGAGATGAGGACAATCCTGAGTTCCCCAGACCTGCACCCAGAGACCACCCACGGCCCTCGGCTGACCCTGAACACCAGTACATGGAGCCCTGCTCCCAATGTTGTTCTCTAGAAACGTCAGTGTTCTGGCTAGCAAAGTTCTGGTAGCCCATCTCCCGGAACCAGTAGAGGCCAGTACAGCCTCTAAGCACTTCTGGAATGGAAGGAAGGATGTCTCTGTGCACTCTGAGCTGGTCTTGCCAAGGTGAAAAAGCCTTCAGAGATGGAGCGATTGGATGGCCCAGAGATGACCCAGACTGGAGCCAGTCTGCCATTAATGGCCGCTACCCACTGTCCTACAGGCTGAGTGGTCTGCATCAGACTCATGGGTGGGAAAGCAGCCCCATACGGATTAGTACTCGGGCCTGTACCTCCTAGACAGGTTTTTCACCCCTGAGGAACCAGCACACTCTCTCTCACATCATGGCGGTGTGGAGTTCCCCTACCTCTTTCAGCACCTGCTGGAAGAAGCCCAAATCCCAAGTCCTCTGATGCTGAGCCCTAATGCCCCTCCCAAGGCCTCCTACTGGGTGCAAGAAGGTGTCTTGGGGCTTCTTCCCAGCCTGAAACAGAGTCAGGTGGTGCATCAGCCCTAAGCCTCAGAACCTGAGTCAGACCCTTCTTAGAAGCACACAGAGCCCAGATAATTCACTCATGGAAGCACAGGTGGCTCTTGGCACTAGATGACACCACAGACCTTCTTGTCCCCTCCAGTTCCCTCAGTTCTCCCTTCCTGACAGCCGCAGACAGGCTTCCCTGAGTCAGTCCCCTGGCCGGATCTGATGAGTGCCTGAACGCACCAGGGGAGTTAGGGGCTATTGACAACGTCTCCTAGATATCTTTCCGGACCCTGTGAACCCTATTGGTCGCTCTCAGAATGTAGATGTGCAAGCCCCTCTTTCCTACTAGAGCCTGAGCTCTTTAAGAGCAAGGAACCAGGTCTCAGTCGATTCTGGAAACTTCTCACCAAAGACAAATCCTGGGACAGAGGAAGTGCCCAGCAAGTGTCCATGAATGAGCTGGTCCCACCATGGGGTGAGGAGGCTGAGTGGGCTCTCTGATCCCCTCACCCCAACCCAGCCTCTGCTTTGGGCTCTTAACAAATATTTGATAACTAAGCTGTGGATATCATAACCATCTGACAGTCAATTAATGTCAATACCATCCAGGAGGGTGGGTATAGCTCAGTGGTAGAGTGCATACTTGGCATGCACAAGGTCCTGGGTTCAATCCCCAGCACCTCCACTAGGAAAATGTCAGTACCATCCACCTGGTTTGCTCATGAGCCATACATAGGAGCCAGCTTGAGAAAATGCCCACTCATTTTAAGAATGACTTTTTTTCTAATAGACTAACTTGAATGGCCTTCATATTCCTCCTGGATGAGAAGGAGGAAAGGAAAAAGAGGAGGGGAGTGAGACCCCGTCATGTGCTCCCAGGTCTTGGGCCCCAGCCTCTAGAGCTTTGAAGGGCAGCGACGTACCAGGTGTTGGTGGGATGTTTACATCCTAATCTACCACATACATCTTGCCTTGACGCCCCACCAGCTTTGGGTCCCAGTGGGCCATCGGGCCAAAATTAGATGAGGCTGTGCTTGAGAATGGTGGCTCCAAGCCTAGGGCTCAAAGTAAAGCCCTACACTAGCATCCACCACTTCTGAGTGAAAGGACTTAGTGATAACTTGACATTGAGAGTTAGGGAGCAAGTCGGGAAATACGATGGGGGTTCCAGGTCCTAAGGGGCACAAGTGAAACTGTGGTAGGGTTGGAATTTCTGAGCAACTGGAGCACAGAGCGGTGAGAGTTGGGAGAGGAGAGGCTGGCGGGCCTTGCTAGCTACTGTAAGGAGCTTCGACTTCATTCTGAGGGCAACAGGTGTTTAAGCAGAAAAGTGAGGTGGTCAGATGTATGTGTGGAAGGCTCAGAGCAGCATGTAAATGACTCTTCTGTCATTCCCGTGGCCTGAGGGCCCTGGGATTCAGGACCAGAAACTCTAGAATTCCAGTCAATTCCACCTCCAGCCCCAGGAAGGCCTCAATTAGCTTGAGCTTAACCTGAGCTCTGGAATCAGACTACCTGGGGTAAAATCTCATTTTCATCCTCCATTGGCTGTGTGGCTTTGAGCTAGTTACTTTACCTCTCTGCGCCCATTCTCTTGACTCTAAAATGGGCATGTTGACTTATTGTGGGCCATTATCAGACAAATTTTCTCAGATGCCCTGCACATGGCAGATGCTCAGTGTACATTAATCCCCGTTCTCCATTAGCTACTGTGTCCCTGAAAACCCCTATTCCAAACGGCCTTGTATTGAGTCCCCCTTGAGTCCACCAGAGGCATTTCTTCCAGGGTGGGCCCCAGATGGAGGGACCTCTACCCTCCCTGCAGCACCGTAGGCTGCTTGGCTTCTACATGCCGATACTTATGTGTGGCTGTTACGTGCACAGTGTGGCTCTGGCAACTCTTTGGCTGCATAACCCCTGGGCAGAGGTCTTGCTATACTCACTGCTCCACTGATCATCCCCCCCCACCCATAGCCTGCATTGGTTCCTAGATCACACAGAGCACTGGGAGTTTGAAATTAATGCTTAGAGGGGATGAGAAACATTAGATGAGAATTCTGCACCTACCTTCAGCCTCCCACCCACCCATCTGATCTTGGACTTGGCCATGTTGGGAAGCATCAAGGGAACAGAAATCCAGGGGAAACAGACACCCACTTGTTTATGACTCTGGTTGGGTTACTCCCCTCTGGGCCTCAGTTCCTCATCTGTGAAATGCTCAGAGGTTGACGACCATGAATGTTAGGGACTTTCCCACCTGAACATTCCTGGATTCTCTAATGAGTAGGAAAAGAATTGGAACCCCAGTCCCCCACTCTACCCCTGAGCAAAAGTAACCAACTCAAGCAAATCAAGATCTCTAGGAGACGGCTCCAGCCCTTCCAAGATGCCTCCAGGCTGAGTAAGGGGTATGTGATGAGGTGGTCCCCCAGACTGGGCCCAGCAGGGGCACAGCTGGGTAGGACCCCCAGACCTGTCAGATCCTTGCCTCTGGCTCCATCAGATTCAAGAATGGCCCTAGGAGGGAGGTGACCATGGTCTGCACGGGGGAGCTGTGAGTTCCAACATAGCCAGATTCAAGGAGTCATGAATACGGATGATTCACGGAGAAGTTCCTATGTTGGTGAACCCCCTTAGAAGATGGGCCGTCTCAGGTCTGGGCCTTTTTTGCCCAATTCCTTCTGAGAGCACCTCCCTCCCTACACCCAACAGAATCTTCAGAGCAAGGGTCCTGGCTTTCCCCCAGTGAGAGGATAGCCAGCATCTTGGGTAAGTCCCTGAGACCAGAGGAGCCAGGGCTAAGACTGATCCCAGCCCAGGCACAGAGGGCCTGACCTGGGGCCCAGAGCCAAATTGTGACACTGCCGGAGGCAATAAAAACCCAAATCCATGCTTCATCTCCAAAGTCAGCTTTTTATTATCAAGAGCCAGAGCCTAGGGAGGGGAGAGTGTTGAACTAAAGCAGCATTGCTCTCTTTCCAGGAAATGTTACGAGCTGCAGTGAGAGCTTGAGATGTTGCATTTTTTTTTTCAACTCAAGCATGTGTTTTTCAAAAATATCATCCTTCCCCACCCCCCACCCCACCACTAAT